CCCACCTCCAGGCCAGTCGGGACCCCAGGCCCCCGGCTCTTGGGCATCCCTCGCGGTGGGCCCCCGGCCCTTTTGACCCTCTCTGGTTCTGGCCCCAGCATGGGCCAGTTGAGGGTACTATCACCTTCGGGCTGGGTCTCTAGCCCCTCTCTCATCCTCGGGCCTCGCCGTGCCACTACTCCCCGTCCTCTCAGGGGCAACCTCAGCACCACGCCCTGTACTCCATACACTCTCTCGGGGTCCGCCCTCTGGGCCCCTCCAACATAGGGTTACCCTAACCAGGCACCTGGAGGCTGCCAGCTCCAGGCCCTTAAAGTGGCAGAGACACCCTGTTCTCTGCCACAGTGCTGAAGACCCCAATTTCCAAAGCAGAACTCATTTTTGAGTACTTAATTTGTACCTGCCATTAGTAGAGGTGTGTGCACAACCCAAGCAACTGCACGTGCAAATGCCTGCCTGGGCATCTGATGGGCCTTTTGCATACATAACTGCAACAATTGCTGAGACAAATCAGGTGCTCAACGGCACCAAGATTTGAAAAGCTCTCTGATGAAGAGCAACAGACTTGCTACCAAACGTTGTGATGCACATGGAAGTGCCCTTGGAGGCTGTCATATCATGCAAGACCAAGTGGGGACCCTGTGAAATGAATGGCTGATAAATTTAGAGCAAAAAGATCTGGTTAATGTTATTGCCCAGAATATCTGTGGTGGCTAAGATAAGAGTCCTCAAATCCCATGCTACAAAACATGAGCTAATTGACACCAGGGTCAGAACGGTACCTGCCCCTCTTTTTTCCACGGTAGCACTGCATAAACGGTAAGGAGCATAACTGCATTTAAAGGAAAGTTGCATTTTTTCTGGGTGCAACATTTATTGACTGGTACCACAGGTAGGATACTGGACCTGCAGGTAAAATGAACCAGCGCGGCCAATCTCAGGCCCCAGCAATGCTTTCTTGCATTTATTCCCCCCCCCCCCCCCCCCACCACGCCCCCCCCCCCCCCCCGCAACATTTCTCTTGTAACCTGGTTTTGTTCCTCAGAAGGTCAAGTTTTGTTTTTCTAGCCATTCTCCAACAAACTTGCGCTGAATTACCTAAGGGCACTTCAAACACGCTTTGATAATTTTTGTTTTAATTGGGCTGGCTATCTGTTATCAACATTAACGCCGAGAGAATATTGAAAACCACAGCGAAAATGTTGATTAGCTGCTGCACTGGTCCTGAATTCCCTAGTTGAGCATGAGTCTCCTCGAAACCCAGCCTCCCCCCCTCCATGCCCTGAAGCAACAGAAGAACCAGGCAAAGGGAAATTAAGCAATTAATTGGTTCTTTCGAAAGAAGAAATAGGATCGTGAGTAAATCATTTAGTACATGTAGAAATTAATACGAGTGCTGGCTCAGAGACTGGCCTAGGGTAGGCTGAACGTGCTTCCTCCTGTGGGTGTCTAGTGCCCCCTGCCGTTCCCGTCTTGGATCCCCTTCCAAGCCTCGCTGCTAATGCACTTCAGGACTTGCCCTACTGTCCCCTACCTACCCAATCCTCTTGCTCAGCCAAAGCATGCCCAATTCTCTTGCCATGCAATTCCTTTCCGTGCTGTATCCCTGTAGGGAGCAGACATTACCATCCTTTTGTGCATGGTTTCAATGATATGGGAGCAACCACCACATGCAGAGGCATGTGGGGACCCTGAACTCCTGACATAAGATGCGTCCTTTTGGGGATCATGACTAAAGGAAGAAGGATGGGGCCTGGTGCTACCTGGGATCTGGAAGGTTTTAATTCTAATTTACACCCCAGGGTACTCAAGGAGCTGGCGAGCATCATAGCCCAGCCCCTGGCACGGATCTTCGAGAGCTCCTGGCGCTCTGGTGAAGTGCCCGAAGACTGGAAGAAGGCCAATGTGGTGCCTATCTTCAAGAAAGGGAGGAGAGTGGATCCAGCAAACTACAGGCCCATCAGCCTGACCTCTATCCTGGGGAAGGTCTTAGAAAAGATTATCAAAGAGGCCATTCTGAACAGACTGGCCGATGGCAGCATCCCGAGGGATAGCCAGCATGGGTTTGTTGCGGGTAGGTCTTGCTTGACCAATCTCATTTCCTTCTACGACCAGGTGACCTATCACCTGGACAAGGGGGAAGAGATTGATGTCGTATATCTTGACTTTAAAAAAGCCTTCAATCTGGTATCCCATGATCACCTCTTGACTGAACTGGCTAACTGCGGCCTCAACCTCACCATGATCTGCTGGCTGGGGAATTGGCTCCGCGGTCAGACCCAGAGGGCAGTGGTTGACGGAAGTCAATCGTCATGGTGCGCAGTCACCAGTGGGGTCCCTCAAGGCTCTGTCCTAGGGCCTACACTGTTTAACATCTTCATTAATGATGTGGACATTGGAGTCAGAAGCAGACTGGCCAAGTTCGCCAACGACACCAAACCCCGGTGGTAAAGCATCCACACTCAAGGACAGGAGGGCGATCCAGGCTGACCTGGACAGGCTCAGCAAGTGGACGGACAAGAACCTGATGGTGTTTAAACACCTAAAATGCAAGGTTCTCCACCTTGGTAAGAAAAACCTGCAGCATGTCTATAGGCTCAGTAGTGCTACGCTTGTTAGCACTATGGACGAAAGGGACTTGGGGGTCAGAATTGACCACAAGATAAAATATGAGCCTCTAGTGTGATGCTGCGGCTAGTAAAGTGAGCAAAACACTGGCTTGCATCCATAGATGCTTCTCAAGCAAATCCCAGGATGTCATTCTCCTGTTGTACTTGGCCTTGGTGAGGCCGCAGCTGGAGTACTGCGTCCAGTTCTGGGCTCCACAATTCAAAAAGGATGTGGAGAAGCTTGAGAGGGTGCAGAGGAGAGCCATGCGCATGATGGGAGGGCAGGAAAACAGACCTTATGACGACAGGTTGAGCGCCATGGGACTCAGCCTGCAGAAGGGCAGGCTCAGGGATGACCTGGCAACCACCTATAAGTTTATCAGGGGTGTTCACCAGGATCTGGGGGAACGTCTGTTCACCAGAGCACCCCAAGGGATGACAAGGTTGAACCATCACAAACTCCACCATGACTGTTGCAGGCTGGACATAAGGAAGAATTTCTTCACTGTCCGAGCCTCCAAGGTCTGGAATAGCCTGCCATCAGAGGTGGTTCAAGCATCTACTTTGGACACCTTCAAGAAACATCTGGATGTTTATCTTGCTGGGATCCTATGACCCCAGCTGACTGCCTGCCCATGGGGCAGGAGGCTGGACTCGATGATCTTCCGAGGTCCCTTCTAGCCCAAATGTCTATGAAATCTATGAAATTCAACCTCCCCTGGCACGGACTCTCTAGGTCCCAAAGGGCAAGTTGCTTCACCCTTTTGTGCCTGCAAAACAGGAATAAGCACAATTCCCAGAGCAGCGCAGTGAGGACCAGTACAGTAGAGACTGGGAGGGAGCTCAGACGTTGCAGTG